ACCCCGAATAATTAAGTAAAGTCGCTTCGGAAGCAGGTAATGTGCATTTTATCAATTGTGCATGTAATATCAATTGCAAGATATTAGATCTATCCAAATGTCTTAACTCAGCACTAGTGGGGTTAATAAAAAGCATAGGAACTTTAATAGTGTATATATATATATATATGAAGTGTAGTAGTCTTGAAAAAAACACTTGTAAACGAAAAATTTAATAGTATATGTTTTCAGACCACTGTATATCTATCATGGTGTCTGTGCCTCTGTGCTATACTAATTTCGATATTTATATGGCACATTTATTATATTGATATTAAATAGACTTAAGGTCTTATTTGAGCATACATTCGATTTAATCTCAAATTTTGCCGTTTTTTTATTACAGATACAGGACGATCTCGCAGCAACTAAATCCCCCGTCCAAATTGAGCTGTCTGCAGGGCTTGATCTTGGTTCCGCCACTACTACGAGTCTTGATGGTGCTGTTTCTCCATTATTTTCAGCCTTGCAGACCAAGTGGACGCAGTCGGAGAAGGATTTGAAGCCTGTCTTTCTTTTGCTAGTTCACAACGCCGGCAGCTTGGGCTGTATCGATTTGCCCGCTGACCAACTTACTGACCTATCCCACATGGAGACCTATTATAAGGCTAATTTGTCTAGTCTTATTTGTCTGACTTCCTGTTTTATGAAGCGTCTATCTATTCTGAGCTCGACGCATATGGGCAGTAAGTTTTTATGCCATGACCAAACTGATTTGATTCACTCTTGACCACCATCAACTTGGTTACCTATTGCTTAACTCCCCAATTTTGTCTAGGGCGTCGATTATAGGAACCTCAGAATTGCGTAGAATTTCACCTAAACTTACATCTCTTATAAAAGGTATGGAGACCAAGATGGTGTAGCCTTTTGCGTGGTCGCAGTCTCCTTTCGTTGTATAGAAGTGACCATGACACTCAGAAGCTTAGGCCTCGAATTAGTCACCCAGACGCAGGTGGGGGCGAATAACGCC